ATTCCTTATTCCAAGTAGGGTATGTATTCCTTATTCCAAGGGGGGTACGTATTCCTTATTCCAAGGGGGTACGTATTCCTTATTCCAAGGGGGTAGGTATTCCTTATTCCAAGGGGGTAGGTATTCCTTATTCCAAGGGATAAGATTGTGGTACAGAAAGGGTGGTAAAGCCGGGAACGCTGGCGCGACAGAACAAGCCTTTAATGGCTACACGGCTTGACAGAGATATGTAGGTCGCTCCTGCCTCAGGCCTGTTGACATATGTTAAACCAACCTCCTGCCCCACTGCCTCCACTCACCTTGGCGTGTTCTACCTGGCAGAATAACGCTCAGGTGAGAACAGGGGATAGCTTCGTGGGAGAGCATCTGGCACCCTTACAAGACAGGCATTTGTACGAGCTGTAACACATGTTTCAGCGTTGTAGGCGTGAGGCAGGGTTTGGGGCGCTGAAAATACTTCCGATATAACCAAGGATGGTTCATTGTTTGTAGACATTGTATAAACGTTACTATTGATAGAGTAAAAAGGTGGACTCTTACACAACTGCTTGCTATTTGTAGACGGGAGTTTTAGATGCATTGCTGGTAGTGATTTAAAATCTGGGGCAAAATTATTTGTTTCTTAGTATTTTCGGGAAAAAGAATATAAAAGAGATATCCCTGGCACCAAAATATCAAATGATCAGTCCCTAACATCTAGTCTCTGAAATGATCATATTTTACAGAAAAAACAGTTGTTAAATTATAGTTAAAAGAGATAAAAAGGAGCCCAGGGACTTTTTACTGCAGTAATATAGACTTGCCACACATTATAGACTTGCATGGGCTGTATTGGATATATTTGTTTCAGGGTCTGTATGACATTCTATAAGTGTTGGTTGTTTGTGTGTATCAAAATATAGTGAATGTAAGTCTGAGGGGTGTGGGGTGTGGGGTGTGGGTGTGGGTGTGGTTGTGGGTGTGGGTGTGGGTGTGGGTGTGGGTGTGGGTGTGCGTGTGCGTGTGGGTGTGGGTGTGGGTGTGGGTGTGGGTGTGGGTGTGGGTGTGCGTGTGCGTGTGGGTGTTGGTGTGGGTGTGCGTGTGGTTGTGGGTGTGGGTGTGGGTGTGGGTGTGCGTGTGCTTGTGCGTGTGCGTGTGGGTGTGGGTGTGGGTGTGCGTGTGGTTGTGGGTGTGGGTGTGGGTGTGGGTGTGGGTGTGGGTCGAACAGACCAGGTTTTCGAGGCAGGGGTCACCCCTCACCGTCCCTAACATATTTAAACCTGCAATCGCAGCTTATGAAGAAGCTACGAAGATGAAAATGTGAAAGAGTTATTCCTGCGATAGAGCAATTATCTATACTCATAAACGGACCTGATTTAACAAATGAGGCCAAAAACATGGGTGGGTGAAAACAAGGTCCGCTGGCGATATATAACTTCTGAAGAAAAGCAATTAATTCGTCCTTGTTATATTTTAGTGGTAGTAGTAGTAGTAGTAGTAGTAGTAGTAGTAGTAGTAGTAGTAGTAGTAACCCAATAACGAATAACAATTATAATTTTTAACGAATTTGCTGACGCCGGGCATCTTAGAGTTATTTCCCCTTGTAACGCCAACTAAGCTATGTTGCTCTGTTACCGAAGACCTCCAATTTGCTTTTCGTCTCTATGTGGAAATGAAACGATACGTTTTGACGTCAATGCGGAATATCACAGAAGTAAGAAACCAGATTTAGAAAGTGAATATTGATTTTCGCAGCATCAACAGTAAAACGAGTGAAGATTGGAGTCACGTATTTGATCAAAAACGACATTTAACACCAACGCTTACGTTTTGTTTCGATGTTTGGTCTTGAACTCGCGTCTAACACTGGGAACCAAATACAGTATTACTAGCTATTTCGCCACCTAAAATTGATCTATATCCTCGTGAAATGTATCTTATCGGGAACCGTGTGGTTTTGTATGTTTGTTGTTTAACGCCGCCCTCAGCAATATTCTAGCTGCATGACGGCGGTCTGTAAATAATCGAGTCTGAACCAGACAATCCTGTGATTGACATCATGAGCATCGATCCACGCAATTGGGATCGATGACATGTATCGACCAAGGCAGCGAGCCTGACCACCCGATCCTGTTAGTCGCCTTTTACGACAAGCATAGTCCCCTCTTATACGATAAGCATGGGTTGCAAAAGACCTATTCGACCCCGGATCTTCACGGGTCGGGAACCGTTTGGGGATTTGGGGAACAAAACGGTACGGTACCCAATACTTTTTGTAAAAGCCGCACTTTGACTTCGTGTCACCGTACCCCGATCCTGTTGATCGTTGCTCATGCCATCAAACACTGGTTTGTCTTTTGACTCGATTATATACGGGCCGAACAAGTCTGAACATTCTCATTTTATTATGTCATCTTGCCCTTACCGGGACAAATTAGTTTTTCGAAGGAATCCCAAGCTTACTGAAACAAGGAAATATGTGAGGTTGTTTCAGTGCATGTTGATAAAGTACATCCACACTTGTGTGATAACGCGTGTCTTTGAAAACAGGAAAGCGTAAATCGCAATATAATTTATTTTGGGCTTTGAATTCAATAAGGAAATATTACCTCATTTCGGTCACGTAGCGCATACAGTTCGGGAAATTTATTTACAAATAGACTATGTTATCATACACGGAAGAAGGAATTGCAATTCTGGTTGTGGGCGTGATATATTGTAGAATCACGTGGGTTTGTAGTAGCAGAAGTAGCAGATGTAGTAATTGTGGTAGCAGTAGTAGAAGCAAAAGGCAGCAGTAGTTTGCGTGTCTCTTATTTAACGCCGCACTCAGCAATATTATAGGTTTATGACGGTGGTCTGTAAATAATCGAATCTGGACCAGACAATCCAGGGATTGATATCAGGAGCATCATTTCCACGTAACTGGGATACGATGACATGCATCAACCAAGTCAGCGAGCCTGAAGACCAATTCTACCCCGGATCTTCACGTTTGAGTAGTAGTAGTAGTAGTAGTAGTAGTAGTAGTAGTAGTAGTAGTAGTAGTAGTAGTAGTAGTATATAACGTGCTATCCGTTTGGGAAATCGAACCCGTGTGACGAGTCCAGTGGCAGAAAAGATCCAATGCACATGTGGTTGTTGCGGTGGATTGGGTGGGCACAGTGTTTAAGATGTATGACAAGGTCGTGACAAGCCACACGTTTCAACCAATAGGTTACCCCGTCGCTCCAGAAGTAGTGTACGCAGTAGACGTAGACGTAGTAGTAGACGTTGTTATTGATGCGGTAGATAATTCAACATAGTAGTAGTAGTAACAGCAGCAGTAGTAGTAGTAGTAGTAGTAGTAGTAGTAGTGGTAGTGGTAGTAGAAGACGTTGTGACACAACAGGTAATTGTGATTCCTGTAAGCACGCATCTGTTTCTCTATCTGCGTATATTTACAGATCTATATCTTGAAACAAACATCGAATTGCGGTGTAGGTCATTAGCCACTATTCAAGTTGGCATTTATTATTCTTTTTGTGTTGAACGACTTTGCCGGTCGTGAGTGGCCATGGACTGAATGGCAAACGGATATTGACGTAAATATATGAATCTATACACTGAATACCTGTCCGATAGTTCACTGAAGAAGGATAATTATTCACACGTTGTTGGGACTTTTATAGACTAACATCTAGTCTGTGAAATGAACATGTTTTACAGAAAAAAACAGTTATAAAATATAATAAAAAGGAGCCCAGAGACTTTCTTCATTTTCAGGTACTGCAGTAATCTAGACTTGCCAAACATTCTAGACTTGCATGGGCTCTATGGGATATATTTGTTTTAGGGACAGATTTGTTATAGTGTTTTAGTGACAGACAGACAGACAGACAGATAGACAGACAGACAGACAGATTTTCTTTTCAATATAGGGGCCAGGGGTCCATAATACATAATACAGTCATTTAATATAATTTAGAGACCCATGCTTTTTTTATTTACATTTTGTGGATGTTTAAGAACATAAGTTATATGACAAGTTCAACTTTCGTTAATTGATGTACTTCATAAAGATATAGCCTAACATTGTACAATACTTTGTACATTCTTCGGAGACGCCACCAGATTTACAACATGATATGAAGATCATACTTTCATATACATGTGGTACATGGTTGCTTAGATAAATTCAACTTAATACACCTACTTATACCTACCAGAAGTAAATATGACTTGAAATTTATCTTCAATATATAAATGATTATTGTGTTTACAAAATGGGCAAATATTCAATATTTGTGTCTCTACCAGTTTCAACAGCTAACCCAAAGTTACTATATCTCCATTTTGCCAAAGGAAGACTTTTAGTAAACAGGGATATTTTATGAAAGGTACAATTCCACATTTAAAAGACTACACTTAAAGGCAGCCAAACTAAAAGTCAGAAATTCTGTTTCTGCACACGTCATAAGCTCAGCACCTTGAATAAACGTATCTCGAAAACCATATTAATTAAGTAAACATTTTGCTGGCCATTGTTTGCCTTGACGAAGCCTCTGTTTATGGAATGGCCGTTCAATGGAGACCTTTAATTAACAGTCGTGCACGAAGGGAGACAACTGCTGGGGACAAAGTCTAGTTGTAGTTGTAGTGAGTGAGTTTTGTTTAACGCCGCTTTAAACAGTGTTCCAGTGATATCACGGCGTGTCAGCTTAATGTGGGAAGAAAGCCCGAAGTGATGCAGGTCTCAGACGTTTACCACTTCGGTGAAACCAACGAGCACGGGTATGGTGCTGACAAAACCTGGAAACATAATCGTGGCGAACCGGGATTCGAACCGACAATCATAGGTTTCTGGCGTGTCCAAGGGACGCAACTCTGCACAGCGAATCGCGGCGCCTTAGACGACTGGGCCTACCGTGTTGTAGTTGTAGTATGCATCTAAACAATATAGTTATTATATTATAACAATATTGAATGGTGGGAATAATGACGATCATAGTAATTATTATGTGTTAAGAGAAATACTGATGATGATAGGTGATGATATTATTGACGATGAAGGTGATGAAAGTAATGTTAATAGTGATGATGATGAAAACAATAACGATGAAGGTGATGATAGTAATGTTAATAGTGATGATGATGAAAACATTAACGATGAAGGTGATGAAAGTAATGTTAAAAGTGATGATGATGAAAACAATAACGATGAAGGTGATGATAGTAATGTTAATAGTGATGATGATGAAAACAATAACGATGAAGGTGATGATAGTAATGTTAAAAGTGATGATGATGAAAACAATAACGATGAAGGTGATGAAAGTAATGTTAAAAGTGATGATGATGAAAACAATAACGATGAAGGTGATGAAAGTAATGTTAATAGTGATGATGATATTATTAAAGACGAAGGTGAAGATAGTAATATTAATAGTGATTATGATGAAAACAATAACGATGAAGGTGATGAAAGTAATGTTAAAAGTGATGATGATGAAAACAATAACGATGAAGGTGATGATAGTAATGTTAAAAGTGATGATGTTGAAAACAATAACGATGAAGGTGATGATAGTAATGTTAAAAGTGATGACGATGAAAACAATGAACCAATAATCACAAGTAAACAGCCACCATTTTGTAGTTCATGTCATTAACGAGAACCGCGAGAACACAAACTGACAATGTTGTTTGTTCCTTAATCTAATGTTCGTCCACTATGACGTGTAACACCTGTTTCTGATTATGTTCAGACAGAGAACACAAAATGGAAACTAAATTATGAATACAAAACAGGTGTTGATAATCTGTAGACTGCTGGTACACTTCAGCAACACAGATGTCCGTATACAAATACACTTCTCGCACAGTTGTTTTAGTTCACCTTACTGTATAAAAATGCAGGTCTAGCTTCACCGTTGTCTTAGCTCACCTTATTGTTTACATGTAACATCTGTCAAACCACGTTGTATCTGTCCTTTGTGCTGAAAGGAAAATCGTTACTGTCTTCGTGCGGGACCACTGCTGGCGAGTAGTGGAAATGTGAAAAATGAGTTGAAGGTCGATTTGGTGGGTAGCCATAACGCCGTTTAAACACGACTGCAGCTCTATCGAGCGTAGACGCGAGCGTACTATCCACCATCCTGAGCTGGTTGGTTCGATTCCCGACATGGGTACAATGTGTGAAGCCCATTTTTGGTGTCCCCCGCCGTGATATTGCTGGAATAGTGCTAAAAGCGGCGTAAAACCAAACTCACTCACTCACTCACTCACTGAGTAGGTTGACAACCGTCTTCGCTCATGGTCCGTGCGTGAAGGTTATCGATTCACAAGTTATCTGATGTCATGGCGGATACTCGTTGTGTTTGACAAACCCATTGATAACTCATGGCCATGGGCCTATTATTCCCAGAGGATTAAGGGATCAAGACAAAACGGAGGGGTTATTGGATTAGCTTATCAAAGTAATATCCCTGAGACCTTGCGCGTTTATTACGTGGAATTGTGTTAATGCCCGAGGTCAGGTGTATCGTTTGGGTAGCCAGGTAAAAATCATTACTTGACATAATTTCTGCGTGTCGAGCAATCAATATTGCAATGCTTCTCAGAGAATGGAAATCAGTGGACAAGCATATTCACCGATAGAAAGCAGATGACAGAATAGGTTTGGACAGGTTTGGACCAGAGAAACCACTGGTCAGTACAAGTCAAATAAACTCACAAGCAAAAGAAACCACACCTCTCAGTTGATTAACATGTGTTAGATGTCAAATTGAGTGAGTGAGTGAGTTGGGTTTTACGCCGATTTTAACAGTATTCCAGTTATATCACTGCGTGTCAGCTTAATGTGGGTGGAAAGCCCGAAGTGATGCAGGTCTCAGACGTTTACCGCTTCGGTGAAACCCACGAGCACGGATATGGTGCTGACAAACCTAGAAACATGATCGGGGCGAACCGGGATTCGAACCCACAATAATAGGTTTCTGGCGTGCTCAAGGGACGCAACTCTGCACAGCGAATTGCGGCGCCTTAGACGAATGGGCCACCCGTGCCCCCTGATGTCAAGTTGAAAATATTTTAGGTTAACGAAGCTATATCCAATTAAAGTGAACTATACTGGCATTAAGCGGGGCGGTGGGGTAGCCTTGTGGTCAAAGTGTTCGCTCGTCACGCCGAAGACCCGGGTTCGATTCCCCACATGGATACATATGTGAAGCCCATTTCTGGGGTCCTGACTTAGTACTCCAACTTCTAAATGCCTATCAAAGAAGTTATTAGTACTCCAGGGGCGGTCGGTTAGCCTAGTGGTTAAAGTGTTTGCTCGTCACGCTGAAGACCCGGGTTCGAATCCCGACAATGTGTGAAGCCCATTTGTGGTGTCCCCCGACGTGATATATTTGAATATTGCTAAAACGGCGTAAAACAATACTCACTCACTGGAGCACTCAGAGGATACTTATACATAGTTTAACTTACTTAAAGTATAATCTGATTTAAAACTTTTAAAAATAAAAAAAATGAAATCTTTCGCATAATACAACTTGAGACAACTTGTTCTTATTATATACATAAACACCTAGTTGTCTTAACAGGTGTAACAGAAGCGATACCTATCAGTTGATGCTATCATATATTTGATTTACAAAAAGTATCTTAAGTTTTTGTTTATTTCCCCAAAAAAGAACCGCACTATGTTACGTCAGCACTCAAAGCATACTTCTACATGGTTTTACTTTTAACATATAATTTAATTTAAAACTTTAAAAAATAAAAAAAATAAATTCGCATAATACACAACTGCTGGTATCTAGGACATCTTGTCAACAAAGCGGCGTTTTTTCCCAAACATGGTTGGGGTCAGGTGGTTGCGAATCCATTCCTTACCCCAGTCTTCATTGTATCATTGTATTTTTACACAAACCTACCCAGCCACAGATTACTTTTTACAAACTGTTGTTGGAATGAGTACTGGTTAAAAATACATAATCAAATTTACCAACAGTTCATTAAACTTTTATCACATAAAAAAAGAAACTCGGTCTACAGTATTTTGTCCCTCAGTTTCCACGACATTAAGCTGACGAAGTCAATAAGACTTGGAATCTAAATCTTACTTATAGTCGTCTAAAGCGCCAATACCGCTTACGCCAAGCGCTCGTGATTTCATCACAGTGGTAAATTCGTGAGCCATACAAAACAATCAATGCTGACGTAATAGGAGGGCAATAAGTTATTCACAATGACAATTAAAAAAAAATGACAAATAACTCCATTATCTAAATAATTCGAACTTAGAGAGATAATAAATAGTTTACGACTGCATATAATAAACCAAGGAATGCATGTTTAAGCTGTTTTCGAATTACCAAAGTCTGACCTCTGTCTACGACGAGGCTTAAATGGTGCACAATGTCACACCACGCGTGACTGGAGCCTCGCTTTCACGTCCGTCGTGACGTCATCACCCCTGGTTGTCTTGGCATCGCGTGCTTCTCGGGGAATTGCAGTTTGGTGTTAACTGGGAGAGCGACCCGGTAACAAGTCTGTGCATACTTACCATGCTAGCGTTGTCAGACGTCGGGACCCTGCTTACACTAAATAAAAAACTTCATTAAAGAACACCGCAGGTAAAACAGAGCGAAGCCGAAAATTGGACACGCATTAATTGTGTGCCATCGTAAGCCGAAAGCATGGCTGGTTTCTCGTGATTTCAATCACGGGTTCGTCTGAACCAGACTCGATTTACAGGTCGTTTTAATCAATCAATCAACGACCGGCTCTTGCGACAGGCGTGCGTCTGGGAGATGCATTCTGGCCCGAAATAGCCTACCCGTGGGCTAACCAGATTTGTCAATTTAGGAAGAGCTGTTTCATGATCAAAATATGGAAAACAAGCGTAAAGTCGACGAAGTCATCTATATCCCCCGCCATTTTAACACGTTATGGTCCCAAACCAGGTAACTGACCCAACATTTCTCTTAGGCCATGTCAAAATAGCTGCAATGGAAATTCTAAAATAAACATTTATAAAACTCCTTAATATCAAATGGCACCAGTTCAGTATGTGCTTTATATGTAGACATGCTATGTTTGGCAAGAGAATATTTAACAGTTTATTTGTTATACTCCATAAGTGAACCCACCCTATATTAAAAGAAGGTCCAACTTGTTGCCATGGTAATGTAAAATATAACAACTTATAAAATTCCTAAATAGCAAAAGGCACCAGTTCAAGATGTGCCTGGTAGACATGCAAAATTTTGTTACAAAGTATTGAATGGGTTTTGAGTTATGCTCCGGAAACGAGCTCTACCCTATAAAACCTAAGTCCAACTTGTTGTCATGGAAACGTAAAAAATAAAATTGTATAAAATTCCTAAATAGCAAAAGGCACCAGTTCAGCATGAGTCTGATAGACATGCAAAGTTTCGTAGAGAAATATTTAACGGTTTCTGAGTTATGCTCCGGAAACGATTTCGGGACGCACACACGCACGCACGCACACACGCACAGACGGACGGAACCCATTTCTATATCCCCCGCGGGGATAACAAGTAGCGATAACAGTGTACACACACGGCAGCATCAGACCGAAATATAGCTTGTGGGCTTGGATAACGAATCAGATCAGATGAACGTTTATGGAATAATTTATATTGATTTATACACTGAATAATCTCTCCCTGCATAGATATTGCTCATTTGACCCTGCATTTGGGAAGTGGATACCAGCTTGTCGTATCTTAAATATAAATATTATTTCACATTCACAACATGATATGAGCATATTAAGCCGAACACAACAAGCAACGTGTAAATATATTAGGAATATTATCCTGTTGGATGATAAATGAAACGAGAGCTCCGGCAATGAAACAGCGATGTACGTTGTAGTGCGTTGCTTCACTCGCTAGATTGAGTAAATATTGTTTAATGCCGCCGTCAGCAATGATGCGGTTATATATGATGACGACCTCTAAAATATCGAGTCTGTACCAGGCACACCAGTGACTAAATTAGGAGTAACGATCTACGCCCAAGGTGACACGCAATCAGCAAGGTCACAAGAGCAAGGGAGTTGACTCTTACCAAGGCAAGGGAATTAACTCTTCTCAAGGCAAGGGACTTAACTCTTCCCAAGGCAGGGGAGTTAACTGACTGACTGACTTTTGTAGTTAGTTAACGCCCTTGCCTCGGGAACATGCATGACCCCTGATTCCTAGAGTTGTCCGTTCTCATACGGCAAACTTGGAACAGTCATTTGTTAACGTTGAAAAAAGACAGTGTGTGAGTGAGTGAATATAGTTTTCCCCGTGTTTAGCAATTTTCCAGCTATATTACTGTAGGGGACACCAGAAATGGGCTTAACACACCTAACCAACGTTGGGAATCGAAGCCTGTCCTTCGGTGTGACGAGCAAAGGCTTTTACCACTCGGCTAACCCTCCGCCTCAAGGACAATGTGTTTATAAGCGTGCGTTCATGCGTGCGTGCGTCCGAGCGTGCGTAAGCGTTTTGTTATATGTAATGTTTAGTTGGATATTGGGTTTGGTTTGGTTTGTTGTTTTATGCCGCACTCAGCAATATTCCAGCTTTATGACGGCGGTCTGTAAATAATCCAGTCTGGACCAGACAATCCAGTGATTGACATCATGAAC